TAATAGCCATAAAGTAGAAACAACCCGAATGTCCATCAGTTGATGAATGGCTAAGCAAAAGGATATATCCATATGATGGAATATTAATTGACCATAAAAAGAAATGAAGTCAAGAAAATGAGAAGATAAGCCACAGACTGGTTGAATATATTTACCAAAGACATATCTGATAAAGGACTATAATTCAGAACTCTTAAAGCTCAACAATAAGAAAATGAACAGCCCAATTTAAAAATGGGCAAAAGATTAAACAGATACTTCACCAAAAAAGATATATGTAGGTAAATTAGTATATGAAAAGATGCTCCACTTTGTATGTCATCAGGGAAGTACAGCTAAAACAATAAGATACTAGTATACACCCATTAGGATGGCAAAAATCTGGAACATGGATAATACCAAATGCTGCAAAAGTTGTGGAACAACAGGAACTCTCATTCATTGTTGGTGAGAATGGAAAATGCTAGTTCGTCAGTTTCTTAAAAAACAAAACATATTCATCATAACAACTCAGCAGCTGTTTTTTGTGTGGGTTTTTTTTTTGGTATTTAATCAAATGAATTAAAAACTCATGTCCACACAAAAACCTGTGCATGGATGTGTATAGCAGTTTTATTCATAGTTGCCAAAACTTGGAAGCAACCAAGCAGCCCTTTGGTATGTGAATGGATGAACTATGATACATAAAGATAATGGAATATTATTCAGTGCTAAAAAGAAATGATCTATCAAGCCATAAAAGACATGGAGAACCCTAAAGTACATACTACTAAGTGAAAGAAGCCAACCTGAAAAGGCTATACTGTATTATCCCAACTATATGACATCCTGGGAAAGGCAAAACTGTAGAGATAGTAAAAGAGAAGTGGTTGTTAGGCTTAATAACATGCTCCTAAGTAATCAATGGATCAATGACCAAATAAAAACAGAGAACAAGCAATATATGGAGACAAATGACAACAATGATTTAAACACTGCAAAATCTTTGGGACACAGCAGAGGCCATGCTAAGAGGGAAGTATATTGCAATACAGTCCTACCTCTGGAAAGAAGAACAATCCCAAATGAACAGTCTAAACTCACAATTAATGAAACTAGAAAAAGAACAAAAAAGGCTCAAAGTCAGTAGGAAGGACATAATAAAGATTAGAGCAGAAAAAATAAGTAAAATCAAGAAGAATAAAATAATAGAAAGAATCAATGAAAGCAGGAGCTGGTTCTTCAAGAAAATAAACAAAATACATAAACCCCTAGCCAGACTTATCAAGAAAAAAAGAGAGTGTACACACATAAACAGAACCAGAAATGAGAAAGGAAAAATCACTATGGACACCACAGAAATACAAAGAATTATGAGAGAATACTATGAAAAATTATATGCCAACAAACTGGATAACCTAGAAGAAATGGACAACTTTCTACAAAAATACAATCTTCCAAGGCTGACCCAGGAAGAAACAGAAAATATGAACAGACCAATTACCAGCAACGAAGTTGAATTGGTAATCAAAAAACTACCTAAGAACAAAATACCTGGACCAGATGGTTTCACTGCTGAATTTTATCAAACATTTAGTGAAGACCTAATACCCATCCTCCTTAAAGTTTTCCAAAAAGTAGAAGAGAAGGGAATATTCCCAAACCCATTCTATGAGGCCAGCATCACTCTAATACCAAAACCAAGCAAAGACACCACAAAAAAAGAAAACTACAGACCAATATCCCTGATGAACATAGATGCAAAAATACTCAACAAAATATCAGCAAACCGAATTCAAAAATACATCAAAAAGATCATCCATCATGATCAAGTAGGATGTATTCCAGGGATGCAAGGATGATACAACATTCGAAAACCCATTCACATTATCCACCACATCAACAAAAAGAAGGACAAAAACCACATGATCATCTCCATAGATGCTGAAAAAGCATTTGACAGAATTCAACATCCATTCATGATAAAGACTCTCAACCAAGTGGGTATAGAGGGCAAGTACTTCAACATAATAAAGGCCGTATATGACAAACCCACAGCTGAAAAAAAAAAGATAACCGGTTGTTATGGGGACGGAGGGATGAACTGGTAGAGCAAGGAGGATTTTAAGGGCATGAAAGTTTTCTGTATGACACCGTAGTGGTAGATACATGTCATTATACATTTGTCCAAATCCATAGAATGTACAATACCAAGAGTGAACCTTAATGTAAACTATGGACCCTGGGTGATAATGATGTGTCAGTGTAGGTTCACTAATGGTAACAAACGTAGCACTCTCTTACAGCGTGTTGTTAGTGGAGGAGGGTATGTCTGTTAGGGGCCAAGGGATATATGGGAACTCTGTACTTTCCACTCAATTTGCTGTGAACCTAAAACTGCTCTAACAAATAAAATCTGTTTAAAAAAATAGAAGTTAAGTACTAATACATGCCACAATATGCACGAACCTTTAAAACATTATTCTATGTGAAAGAAGCCAAACACATGTAGATAAATGTCAACCTAAAATTGTCAGGAAGCATAATTAAGCATTTATTTGGGATCAAAGAATTGTATTTCAGGTTGGGCAACAACCCAAACAGAGTCCCACTAGAGAACAAAAGTCAGGCGTTTTTAAAGACAAAAAGGGAATTCTTGTATGATGTGTTTACAGAGAATTTTGATTGGTGTTAGCAGCAGAAAACTAATTTTGGCTAACCCTAATTGATTGCTAAGGCTATCACTAAGCAAAAGTCCATCACTGTTGTCAAGTTGCAGTTGTTGTTGTAGAATCCTGGGAATATTTGCAGTTTCGCCCAGTTTACCTGGTGAGGACATGCCTAAGGCCCACCTTCTTACTGGAGTCCTGGCTTCATTTTAAACCCCTTGACATAGGTGATGCCATTTTATTTCACCTTTTACACACAAAAGACCACATTCCATTTCTAGGAAATGTCCAGAATAAGCAATTCTATAGAGACAGACAGTAGATTAGTGATTGCCAGGGAATAAGGAGTGACTGGTAATGGGCACATAGTTTTTTGGGGAGTGATGGAAATGTTCTGAAATTAGATAGTGGTAATGGTTGCACATCCTTGTGAATACACTAAAAGCATTGAATTGTACACATTATAAGGATGAATTTTATAGTATGTCAGTTATATCTCAATTTTTTTAAAGCACACAGACATTGAGGCCAGAACCCTAGATTCAGATCCTAGCCCTACCACTTTTAGCTGTATCTTTGCCTCTTTCATCTGTAAAATAGAGATAAAAAGCGATTCCTTCCTCACAGAGTTTTATGAGGCTTTAATGTGTTAACACACATAAAGCCTTTAGTATAGTTCTTCGCACATGGTTTAAATGCCAACCAAGCATTAGCTATTATATATAAAACTGAATTAAAGTTTCATGAAACAATAACCTTCCTGCCTATTTTGTAGTCCTCGTTTTCTCTTCTATTGATTTTAAAAGAGAGAGAGAAATGTTCAGATCCACTATATTGATTTCACAACTTACTGATGCCACTAAGAAACCCTGTTTCCAATGCTACCCTGTTTGCTCAGCTAACTTATGCTCATTCTTCTAGACTTAGCTTAAAATTGCTTCCTCAGAAAAATCTTTCCTAATTTCCCACATTAACTTAGGTTTCTCTATTAATGTGCTTGTGTTAGCACCTTATCTTTAACCTCTTAGTACTCATCATACTTGTATTTTTTAAAATACCAGTTTTTCCCACTAGATTATAATCATGTAGGCAGAAACTGTATTTGTTTGTTCATTGGTATAGCCTTAATTGTTTAGCAAAGTGCCTATGATACAAAGAGTGCTTAATAATTGTTGACTGATAGTAGAGGAAAAATTGTAAAGAAAGGTTATCAAAAAGTTTGAAGAAGTGTAATTGGAATGCCAAGCTGGTCATTGAGTAACATAGTGCTGATACTATGCTCTGTACTCATTAACCAGTATTCAATATGGTAATCCCCCAGGGAATCTAATTACACTTTATCCATAGGGAGAAGGACTTGCTAACCGAGGCACTGCTAAAATAATCGCTAGTGTGCAAGATTGAGGCATCTTACTATCTGGACAAGTTGATCTGCTGTAATACCAAGTTAGCTAGTAAATGTAACTCACCTTGCAGCTACGGAGGTTGCAGGCATTTTGGTACTGGAGTGCCAATACTAATTTCTTCAGTTTTTTGAAAGGGGAAAGGTTTGAAGATGCTATATTACATATTCCTGCTTTTGTGGAAAATACCGGAGTGCAGGAGATGATTCTTGTCTTCTCCCAACCTCTGTGCCTGTTTTTATTTACTGTTTTGGTAATGCTAAAGGGACAAAATATAAGACAAACAGAAAAGATATTATTACATATAATTTCATAAGTTTTGTAAGCTAATCTTATTGAGAATAAAGAAAAACTAATAAAAGTAGGTTCCTTGGCTTTGATTAAATTTGACAGGAAAATAAATCAATTTTTTTTGTGTGTGAAATCAACATTCTTAAAGTACTGGACATAGTATCCATTTGTCTTATTACAATGGTGTAATATGTAGCCACAAGCACAGCCTATATTGATAGAATATTACAAATTCAAGGCCAGAGAGGTAAGAAACTAGTGCAAATTGAATCAGACTGGGGGAGGCTAGCCAACTAGTAATTCCACTATTTCTTCCTCACTTTACTACCTTCTCTTTTTCTTTCATGTTCTTGCTGTTTCTTTGACCCCTTACTCTGCTTGTCTCATACGTTAACCACTTTCTACTCTGTGACTTCTGTCATCTTTGAAAATTACAATGGAAACGTGATTTGTTTTGTTTTGCTTTTTTTCAAAATTCCTCACCAGAAGACTGTACCCCTGCTGTAGTGATCCTATTCAGCAATCCTATGTAGCAAAGGCTGTATTTGTAAATGGGTGTTAAGGTCCTAGTTTGCTCATTGTTGAGATTTGTAATTGGTATGGTGGGGTTGTTTTTAAAATAGTAATAAAAAGTACTTTGTTGAAATTATTTCCATAGATGGTATAAAGCTAATTACAGCATGGCTGAGAAGTTAGACTGGGGCCGAGGAATGGGCTGTGACTTTGTCAGGAAGAGCTGTAAATTCTGGATTGATCAGCAAAGACAAAAGTAAGAGTGCTATTTCTTCATAATGTCTTTGATAACACAATTTATTTCTGATTTTGTTGTTTATCCTGAGCCTAAAGTCAGTACTTTCAAAATGTGGTCTAAACTGTTCAGTTTCAAAGTCTGCAGGACTTGGTCATAATATCTATGACCAAGGGGATGAACTGAAATAAAACAAAAGCATGTATTTGGGGCTCTCAGAAATGCAAATTTGGGAAACAGAGATTTGGGTAGCAACCCAAATTGTGTCCCACTAAGGAACAAAAGCTATGGGTTTTTTTAAGACAAAAGGGAATGCTTATATATGTTGTTTACAAAGAGTTTTAATTGGTGTTGAGGCAGAAAACTCATCTTGACTGAATATAATTGGATGTTAAGTTTATCACTAAGCGAAGTCTTGTACTATAGCAGAAATGTTTGAGCTGAGTCCTTGGACAATTTGCATTTTGACCCAATTCAAAAGTTCAAGGTTCCACCTTGACAGTATGTATAAGGCCCATCTCCTTAATCGCCTCCCAGCTCCATTTTAACTCCTTTACTTAAGTGGCCATATTTTCATTTCACCATTCACATATCATAGTAAGTAGTTGCAATATTGTTTTAAGTCATATACTTAAAGAATCTGCACTGTGGGAGCCAGAGCCATAAATCCATCTTCTCCCATGTACATACCAGATCTACTCCTAAACACACAGCAGTTCCTCCTGAAGAAGAACAGGTCTGAGTGAACACCTATACAACAAGGTATAGAAAGACCACATAAAAAATGACAGGCAAGACAGAGACATGGTAGCAGCAGGAGCCCCACACCCAATGTGGACATTACTGTAGGACTGGAATGCAGATTCACATGCCCTGGGGCACACACACACACACACACACAAAATGTGGTTTAAAAGTCAACTAATAAGGGAAGGAAGCCAATTTCCATAACTAAAGCAGCTGCTAAGGAGCAGAGGAACTGCTAAACTCTCTCCAGGATCAGAGGTGCTGGCAAGTACAGTTGTTTAAAATCCCCCTGCATGTTTATAGTACAGATGGGACCAGGGTCTAGGTGGACACACCAGCTCCAGACATAACCAAGGCAGTTTCCCAGTCCCCATCTGCACCCTAATGTGCTTGATGGAGATCCTGCAGTCCCATTAAGATGGTACTATCATGGCATCACAGATTCACCCTACCTGCCCCTTCTGACTCCAGCCACCACATCAGCACAGCCTCTGAGGTGCTCACCTAGATTCTCCCTGCCTGTAGCCCTTCTATCTCTGGCTACCCCATTATTGTACCCCTGACCAGTCTTCACCTGAGAGACCCCTGAACCATGCATTGCTGTTTCTGGCTGCTTAGCCAGTGGGTCACAGCAGGCACCCACCAAGAAGACCCCCAGATTGTGCCCTCTACCAGTTATAAAGATGCTCTCCAGACTTGAGAGAAGAATGGAGGAACTCAGGGAGAACTTCTTAAAGAGATAAAAAACACTAAAAGGAACCGATCAGAGAGGAAGAATACAATAAATGAAATGAAAAGTACACTAGAGGGAATCAATAGCAGATTAGAGGATTCAGAAGAACAGATCAGTGATTTGGAAGACAGAGTAATAGCTCTCACTCAGGCTGAACAGAAGAAAGAAAAAAGAATAAAAAGAAATGTAGATAGATTAAGGGACTTCTAAAACAACATCAAATGTCCTAACATTTGCATTGTAGGATCCCAGAAAGAGAAGAGGGAGAGTAAGGAAGGAGTGGAAAACTTACTTGAAGAAATAGCTGAAGACTTCCCTAACCTGGAGAAGGAAACAGACATCCAGGTCAAGTAAGCACAGAGAGCCCCAAACAAGATGAACCCAAGGAAGTACACAACAAGGCACGTAATAATTAAAATGTCAATGTTTAAAGATAAAGAGAATCTTCAAAGCAGCAAGAAAAAAGCAACAAGTTACATACAAGGGAAACCCCATAGGTCATCAGCTGATTTTTTCAACAGAAACTTTACAGGCCAGAAGGGAGTGGCAGTGCTGAAATGAAAAAGCCTACAACCAAGAATACTCTACTGGTCAAGGTTATCATTTGGAATGAGATACAGAGCTTCTCAGACAAACATAAATTAAAGGAGTTTACTACCACTAAACCAGCTTTACAAGAAATGTTGAAAGGACTTCTTTAAGAAGAAAAGAAAAGGCCTTAACTAGAAACAAGAAAATTATGAAAAGAAAAAACTTAACTGGTAAAAGCAAACAGCAAAGATAGTAGGTAAAGTACTTAAAAGCTAGTATAGAGGTTAAAAGACAAAAGAAGTAAAATCAATTACTTCTTAAAATTAGTTCAGGGAATCACTAAGTAAAAGGGTGTAATAGAAGAAGATATATACATGAAACATAGAGGAGGGGAAATAAAAAATGTAGTGCTATTAGAATGCATTCAAGCTTAAGTGACCATCAAAGCAGTCTATATGCATAGAATGTCATATATGAACCCCATGGCAATCACAAACCCAAAACCTGTAATAGATACACAAAAAATAAAGAGAAAGGAATCCAAGCATAACGCTAAAGTCATCATGCACAATTAAAGAGAGCAAGAGAGGAGATCAGAGGAAAAAACGAAAATAGCCAGAATGCAGTTAACAAAATAGCAGTAAGTATATACCTATCAATTTTTAAATGCCCCAACCAAATGACATAGGGTAGATGAATGGATTTAAAAAAAACAAGACCATCTATATGCTGTTTACAAGAGACTCTCTTCAGACCTAGAGACACATATAGACTGAGTATGAATGAATGGATAAAGATATTCCATGCAAATGGAAACAAACAAAAAAAGCTAGAGAAGCAATACTTAACATCAGACAAAATAGAACTTCAAAAATTGGAAGCCTCCAAACTTACTCTATGAGGCCAGCATCATCACCCTGATACCAAAAGCAGACAAAGACACTGTAAAAAAATATCCCTGGTGTACATAGATGGAAATATCCTGAAGAAAATATTAGCAAACTGAATTCAAAAATATATTAAAAGGATCATTCACCATGATGAGGTGGGATTTATTCCAGGGATGCGAGGATGGTTCAATACCTGCAAATCCATCAACATGATATACCACATTAACAAAAGGTGTGATTAAAAACTATATCATCATCTTAATAGATGCAGAAAAAGCATTTGACAAAATTCAACATCCATTCATGAAAGTGGGTATAGAGGGAACATACCTCAACATAATAAAGGCCCTATACAGTAAACCTACAGCTAATATTATACTAAATGTCAAAAAGCTGAAAGCTTTTCCTCTAAGATCAGGAACAAGATAAGGATGCCACTCTTATTCAACATAACATTGGAAGTGCTAGCCACAACAATCATATATGAAAAAGAACTAAAAGACATCTAAATTGGTAAGGACAAAGTAAAATTGTCACTTTTTGCAGATGACATAGTACTATATATAAAAAACCCTAAAGGCTCCACCAAAAAACTACTAGAACTAATAAATGGATTTAGTAATATCACAGGATACAAAACCAATATATAGAAATAGGCTGCAGTTCTATACACAAATAATGAACTATTAGAAAGAGAAGTTAAGAAAACAATCCTGTTTACAATTGCATTAAAGAGAGTAAAATACCCAGGAATAAATCTAACCAAGGAGGTGAAAAACCTGTACTGTTAAACTACCAACTATAAGACATTGATAAAAGAAATTGAAGATGACAAGATAAATGGAAAGCTATTCCATGCGTATGGATAGGAAGAATTACTATTGTTAAAATGTCCACAGTATCCAAACAATCTATAGATTCAATGCAATCCCTACCAAAATACCAATGGCATTTTTCACTAGTAGAGCAAATAGTCCTAAAATTTGTTTGGAACCACAGAAGACCTCAAAGCAGTCTTGAAAGAGAAGAACAAAGCTAAGGATGTCATGATCCCTGATTTCAAACCATACTGCAAAGCTGTAGTATTCAATACAGTATGGTATGCACAAAAATAGACCCATACATCAATGGAACAGAATAGAGAGCTCAGAAATAAACCCATGCTTATATGGTCAATTAATATAATACAAAGGAGGCAAGAATATACAATGGGGAAAAGACAGTCTCTTCAACAAATGGTGTTGACAAAACCAGATTACATACAAAAGAATGGAACTGGATCATCACTATTGTACACCATGCAACTAAAGTAAATTCAAAAAAAATTAAAGACCTAAATATAGAACCTGAAACTATAAAGATCCTAAAAAAAAAGCAGAGGCAGTAAACTCCTGAATATCAAAATTTGTGATTTTTTTCTGGATATGTCTCTTGAAGCAATGGAAGCAAAAGCAAAAATAAACAAGTAGACTACATCAATTAAAAAGCTACTGCACAACAAAGGAGACCATCAACAAAATGGGAAGGCAACCTGCTGAATGAGAGAAGATAATTGCAAGTGAAATATCCAGTAAGGGGCTATATATAAAATATGTAAAAAACTTACACAACTCACATCAAAAAACTAATCTGATTAGAAAATAGTCAGATGACCTGAATAGACACTTTTCCAAAGAAGACAAACAGATGGCCAACAGACATATGAAAAGGCTCAACATCACTAATCTCAGGGAAATGCAAATCAAAACCACAGTGAGATGTCACCTCATGCCAGTCAAAATGGCTAGTATCAAAAAAACAAGTAGTAACAAGTGTTGGTGAAGATGCAGTGAAAAGTAAAACCTCATACATTGTTGGCGGGAATGTAAATTGGTGCAGCCACTATGGAAAGTGGTAGTGAGGTTTCTCAAAACACTATAAACAGAAATACCATATGACCCAGTAATTGTACTTCTGGGAATTTACCGGAAGAAAACAGAATCACAAATTCAGAAATATAAATGCACTCCTGGCATTAATTACAATAGCCAAGATATGGAAGCAACTAATATCTATCAATAAATGAACAGATAAATAAGATTGGTATATATGTACAATGAATGTTACTCAGCCACAAAAAGAGAATGAGATTTTTCCATTTGCAACAACATGGAAGAACCTAGAGGGTATCATGCTAAGTGATGTATTAGAGAAAGACAAATACCATATGATTTCTCTTACATGTGAAATCTAAAAAACAAAACAAATGAACAAACAAAACAGAAATACTGATAAAGACAGATTGGTGGTTGCCATGGGGAGGTATGGGTGAAATAGGTGAAGGAGATAAAGAGGTACAAAATTCCAATTATAAAATAAATTAGCCATGGGAATGAAAACAGCATAGAGAGTAAAGTCAATAATATTGTTGTATCTTTGATGACAGATGGTAACTACACTTATTGTGGTAAACATTTAGTAATGTATATATAATTGTTGAATTACTATATCATACACTTGAAACCAATATAATACTGCATATCAACTATATCTCAATAAGAATTTTAAAAGAATAAAATCTCCATCTGCATGTGGCATCCCCATACCAATTAAATTGGAATGTCTGAAGTGGGAATTGATAATTTTTTTTAGAGATCCCCAGGTGATTTCAATGTGCAGCAAAGTTTGGGAACCAGTGTTCCACTGTGTTAAAGGAAGTATACAACTAATGTTACAGCTGTAAAATTTGATTTTTTTCTTTTAACAGCAATAATTCTGTTGCCCTTTAGGTCCCAATTATAGGATCACCTGAAACCCAAAATGGAAGGGTATTTCCTCTTCTCCATTCTTCAAAGCTAAAACCATTGGTCCCCTGAATTCTCTCCTATCCTTTCAACCATAAGCCAAAGGTTGGCACACTTTTTCTGTAGAGGGCCAGATAGTAAATTCAGGCTTTGAGGGTCATAGAGTCTCTGTTAAAATTAATCAACTCTGCTATTGTATATCAAGAGCAGCCATAGATAAAATGAGTGGGCATGACCATGTTCCAATAATACTTCATTTACAAAAACAGTTGTGGGAGAAACAAAGACACACACACAAAAAACTCATACATTGTTGGCGGGAATGTAAATTGGTGCAGCCACTATGGAAAGTGGTAGTGAGGTTTCTCAAAACACTATAAACAGAAATACCATATGACCCAGTAATTGTACTTCTGGGAATTTACCGGAAGAAAACAGAATCACAAATTCAGAAATATAAATGCACTCCTGGCATTAATTACAATAGCCAAGATATGGAAGCAACTAATATCTATCAATAAATGAACAGATAAATAAGATTGGTATATATGTACAATGAATGTTACTCAGCCACAAAAAGAGAATGAGATTTTTCCATTTGCAACAACATGGAAGAACCTAGAGGGTATCATGCTAAGTGATGTATTAGAGAAAGACAAATACCATATGATTTCTCTTACATGTGAAATCTAAAAAACAAAACAAATGAACAAACAAAACAGAAATACTGATAAAGACAGATTGGTGGTTGCCATGGGGAGGTATGGGTGAAATAGGTGAAGGAGATAAAGAGGTACAAAATTCCAATTATAAAATAAATTAGCCATGGGAATGAAAACAGCATAGAGAGTAAAGTCAATAATATTGTTGTATCTTTGATGACAGATGGTAACTACACTTATTGTGGTAAACATTTAGTAATGTATATATAATTGTTGAATTACTATATCATACACTTGAAACCAATATAATACTGCATATCAACTATATCTCAATAAGAATTTTAAAAGAATAAAATCTCCATCTGCATGTGGCATCCCCATACCAATTAAATTGGAATGTCTGAAGTGGGAATTGATAATTTTTTTTAGAGATCCCCAGGTGATTTCAATGTGCAGCAAAGTTTGGGAACCAGTGTTCCACTGTGTTAAAGGAAGTATACAACTAATGTTACAGCTGTAAAATTTGATTTTTTTCTTTTAACAGCAATAATTCTGTTGCCCTTTAGGTCCCAATTATAGGATCACCTGAAACCCAAAATGGAAGGGTATTTCCTCTTCTCCATTCTTCAAAGCTAAAACCATTGGTCCCCTGAATTCTCTCCTATCCTTTCAACCATAAGCCAAAGGTTGGCACACTTTTTCTGTAGAGGGCCAGATAGTAAATTCAGGCTTTGAGGGTCATAGAGTCTCTGTTAAAATTAATCAACTCTGCTATTGTATATCAAGAGCAGCCATAGATAAAATGAGTGGGCATGACCATGTTCCAATAATACTTCATTTACAAAAACAGTTGTGGGAGAAACAAAGACACACACACAAAAATGTTGTGAGTAGGATTTGACAAAAGTGAAGTTTGCTAATCCCTGTCATAAGCATTCAAATGTTCCATGACCACCAGAAATATTTACGGGAAACCAACCTGCACCATACAACCAGTCTGGCTATATCCCTGAGTCATCTTAGAGATTCCATTGTGACCCTTGAGCAGAGGGGCTGGTGTTTAATAACTTAAGCTGTGATACCTCTCCACCATTAGTGGGTGACTGGTATGAGAAGGGAGTGATTGAGCCATATTCATTTGATGGGCAGAGCCATACTCATTTGAATCATTTAATTTATGCACTCACAAAGTAAGCTTTCTATGTTTTGAAACAACAAAAAATGATAAATAACCCAACTCCTCTGCCTATCTTACTTGATATTAATATCAGCTATAGCGCTATCTAGTGTGGTACCACTAGCCACATGTGGCTGTATAAATTTATACTTAAATTAATTAAAGTTAAATAAAATGTAAATACAGTTTTTGTGTTGTACTAGTCACATTTCAAGTGCTTAATAGCCACTGTGATCAGTGGCTGCTATATTGGACAGTGCAGGCGCACTGCAAGAAAGTTCTGTTGGCAATGCTGCTGTAGAATTTGTAAGCCGTGAATCTTGAACAACTCTAACTTTGGAGTTTAAATCAGTATTTTTTAGCCTCCTTGTTCCTCTTTATTCATTTAGCCAAAACTCATTTTTTAATTAAAGTAAATATTATATACTGTTTTATTTTAGAGAAAAGGAAATGTATTCCATGGTTTTAAGAAAATTACTTAGTAAGAACTACGGGTCATATTCATTGGATACTTTGTCATTGAAAGTTGTGAAATTGCCTTATGTAAAGTTTATATAAAAATGCTATGAACAGTGAAATTACATTTATTGAGTAGCTTGTATGTGCTAGGCACTGAGTGCCTTACATATAGTTGAAAATTAAGGGAACACCAAATAAGCTGGTATTTGAAACCAAGCCTATGTCAAGACTCCCAAGAATTTTGCTGTCAGTGCAGTGTGCTACTTCAGGTTTACCAAAGCCTAGGGTAGGTATTCTACACATTTTATCCCAAGCACCTGTAATTCCCTGGAGATGTTTTCTTGCTATAACTATGTTAAGTTAAATGAGGCAAGTATCAATCTTCCTTAAAGATTCTTAAAATAAGAAATCTAACCTAGGCTTTTTTCCCCTTAACAAGCATGTGGGACAAGAGGAAAAATGCCAGTGATTCTATTGCAATTTGGCAGACCAGTCTTATTGGGATTTATATTATTTAGGATTACTGGAATTTCATTTATAATATTATTCCTATGACATTAATTTAATTTGTATTATAATTATCAATAAGATGACTGATGAGAATTATAGGTTTGTTTGAAGATTATTTTTACAGGACAGTGCAATAGAGTCTGATGTCTTTGATGAATTACAAGACCTCTTTTTCCAAATTATACTTCCAAGATTAGATTTAACAGAAAATAGAATAAGTTATAACAATTAGGAATATTTACACAATCTTTATTTTGCACAGGAAAACAAGAAGATTGTTTTGTGAATGTTTTCATCTTAATAAATTGTCAAACAGGATTCTTTGAATTTGATTAGGGCATAGAAAAATTTCACTCTGGGTAGCTGTAGGACAGAGGCAGCATCATCTCTTTCTTAGACTCCATTTGTTAATTATTGTTAAAGAATAATCTTTTTAGGCAGGATCTGGAATTTCATTATTTGTCATAAAAAATGTAAATCATGTCTTCAGAACACCATTTTACTGGCAAAAGTGGAGAAAGAGATAAATAGGATTTAATTTAATAAAAATAAAACAATATTATAATACATCCAGAGTTAATCTTTCATATCTGTATGAAGCATTTCCTTTTACCCTTAAAAAATAAGTCTATGACCTGATTCAACAATTAGTTGTAAGCTATTAAAGCATATTGAAATGATAATGGGAAAGATAAGCTCCAGAATAGACTTTAGGCATTTGATACTGTGGTGTTTGTCTTTGTGTGCAGGAGACGGATGCTGAGCCCTTACTGTGACACTCTCAGAAGTAATCCATTGCAGTTAACTTGCAGACAGGACCAGAGAGCAGTTGCAGTGTGTAATTTGCAGAAGTTTCCAAAACCTTTACCTCAGGAGTACCAGGTAACACTTGTTTGGGGAACAGTTTTAGGAATTAGCTTTTTAAAAAGAAGTCTCCATTCAGAAGTCTGAAGTAGAAAAGTAAATTCTCTTAAGATATTCATTTATTTTCTGTAAGTTAGAAAAACCTGAAGAATCTTCCATTTCTTTATAACCAATGTGCTAATCAATATACCTAGCAATGCCTTGGAATAATGGTAAGAGGCATTAATAATATTTATTTGATCTATTTTTAAACAGTTTATATTTTCTTTCTAATTGTTTCCAAAATCATTATCTTTATTGTCCTCTAATTTACACTGAAAACAACATTCTTTAAAGAAAATGACAGGTAATCTAATCCAATTGCTTAGAATGCTTGGAAGTTCTGCTTTAGAAAAGGTTTGACTCATGGGATCTGAAAGGGGAGGGCAATGGTCCCACATGTTCATTCTGCATCTCTGATTTGACATTTAAGTATTTGCTGTAGTGACTATCTGTAAAAAGCTCAGCTCTGCCTGCCATTTACAAAGGACCCTTTAGTCAGAAATAATGTCTCAGAAGCTAATTTTAAATGATTGCTGTTAAATTTTGAGCTTTCATCATGTTTATGACCCTGCTAAGTGCTGTAGACCCCAGAAGATGGCAATGGTATTTCTAGGCATAGCAATATAATTCAATGAGTTGGTGTAAAATGTGAAATTTTACAAATTTATGTGGTACCTTGTTCCTTTGGTATTCAAAGTATTTAATATACATAATCTCACTCATTGTCTCACAGTTATATTTCTTCAAATTTGTCAAAAGTACATGTAAATTAAAATTTTAAATCAAATTTTAGTCAAATTTGTCATCTAATAAAAAACTTAGACTAATTTACTTACGTTGCTTATTTCTAAAACTACAACAACCTCAAAGTACCCCTCAGGTAGTATATTACTATCTTTGTGCTGTGCTATATATGAAGAAAAGTACATTAATATCTTCTTTGTGTTACACAGCATTGGAGGATTGCTGTACATTGTCTGTAGACTTTGTTTTGATCTTACACAATATTTCTTACTCTCCTGTCTTCCTTTTTTTCTTGTAGTACTTTGATATACTCAGTGGAATACCTGCAGAAGATTTGTCTTATTATGGTGGTTCAGTAGAAATTGCTGACTACTGCCCTTTCAGTCAGGAATTCAGTTGGCATTTAAGTGGTGAATATCAGCGCAGCTCAGATTGTAGAATATTGGAAAATCAACCAGGTTAGTAGTTTACTGAAATAACAAGTTATTGAAGTGACATTAAATACTAAAATTACATGTCAGCAATATAAAACAGTGGTTAAGGGCACAGACCCAAGAACCAGACTGTCTTGGGATTATATTGTGGGTCCACTGCTATCCATCTGTTGTAAGTAACTTAACTTCTTTGTGCCTCAGTTTCCTCCTCTGTACAAAGTGAATAATAATACCTATCTCATAGAGCTGTGAAGATTAAATGAATTCATACAGTAAGTGCATTGAACTATCACACATACAAAGAACTGTTAGCTGTTAGATCCACTTGTATATGTGTGCACACACAAGTTTTTAGTAATACCTTAGATCTATGTGACACTTCTGATTTGCAAAGCACCTTCATTTTTATTATTTGATTTAATTCTTCTGAAAACCTGATGAGACACATAGAGAAGATATTACTGAATTTCACAGATGAACAAAGAGGCACTAAATTATTATTTAATTAACTCCCCACAGTTAATTGGGGTCAGTGCAAGATCCTCCAATACAGAGCTTTTTTATTAAATCATATTGGGTATCCTATTTTTGCTCTGTCCTGAGGAATGTGTATTTTATGTAATTTAGAAGTAACGTGTCATTCTCCACATATCAGAATAATATTGTCCCATGGCTAGAGATGCATTATAATATCATTTACTCCCTTTTAATACATATAAATGAACAGCTCATCAAAGGAAAAAACAGTATGGCAGTTGGTATTTAGAGATTACTTATTGCTCATACTACTTTTGTAAACAGAATGTCCTCACATCTGATATGTCAACAAAGAGCATAAGTAGTTTTTCTCTCTGTGGTCATCAAAATCTTTAACCTGGTCCTTTTTTGTCCCATGCTCATACTACTTTTGTAAACAGAATGTCCTCACATCTGATATGTCAACAAAGAGCATAAGTAGTTTTTCTCTCTGTGGTCATCAAAATCTTTAACCTGGTCCTTTTTTGTCCCTCCTTATTCCATATTTTATTACTGACTAAGTCATTTAGATTTTAAATTTCCATAATGGTTTTTCCTTTTATTCTTCAGCCTAGTAGATTTAACCAGATTTGTTCAGTCATTTTTTTCCATCACTCACCTAACTTAATAAATGTCTAAAAACTTGCAACTACTCAACAGTTCTGTGTTAAAGCAAAGAAATGCACAGATCTGTCAGTTATGGGTTTGCCAAAAATATAGTACACAAATTTATTGTTTTAGAGCTGGAGTTCATGAACATTTATTATAAAGAGCAAGATATTAATTGCCTTAGGCTTTGTAGCTCATGCAGTCTGTTGCAGCTATTCAACTCTGCTGTTAGAGTGTGAAAGGAGTTACAAACAACATGTAAATGAGCGAATGTGGCTGTGTTCCAATAAAACTTTTTATAAAAGCAGGTAGCCCTCAGGGTTTGGCCTGAGGGCTATAGTTTGCTGTCCCCCCTTTGACACTGTCCACTACTGTTTTTCAAGGACTTTGAAATATTCATAAATAAAAGAAATACAGAGTTCTGTTTAATTATTTTACATTTTTTCTTAGCTTCTACAATTAAGATTTTTCAAAACTGACGTAAAATACTTATCTTTATATTTCAAAATGGACTAATTGAACATTCTGCTTTCAAAAGATAAAAAAGTTATTGTTGGGGTTTACTCTCATTCCTTTATCCATTAGCCATTTAGAGGTTATTTAATCCACCCCATACCTTAGCAGGTTAGTCCTTAGTCTGAGACTGGATCAGCATGTAATTTATGGACTTCCAGGAGATAGAATAAGGTGAAAATACTAGGAAGTTTTGCAAAAGTTGCAATATCCCCCAAAACCCTTCATTATGTAAGTCACTTGGCTTCATCCTATCATAGGTCACTGGGGTGGTAGCTCCTATTTAGGCCACCAGTGATGATTCATCATGCCATTTCCTCTATGTATCTAATTTAGATACTTTAAGCCCAGTTTTATCTCGTTTCTGGTGTAATAATTTTATCTCACTAATTATTTTATTGAGAAACCCAGTTTAAGTTTGGAGCCCTATTTCTCTTAGTTTTTTTAATTGAAAATTTCCATTAATCATGTTTATTTTTTTTTAATTAAGGTATCATAGATATACAATCTTATGAAGGTTTCCCATGAACAACATTGTGGTTTCGACATTCAACCATATTATCAAGACCCCCCCACAACCCCATCGCAGTCACTATCAGTGTAGTAAGATGCTATAGACTCATAACTTGTTTTCTCTTTGCTATACTGCCTTCCCTGTGATCCCCCTAATTATGCATGCTAATCAGTATGCCCCTTAATCCCATTCTCCCTCCTTCCCCACCCACCCTTCCTAATCCCTTCCCTTTCGTAACCGCTAGTCCCTTCTTGGAGTGTCTGATGCTGTTTTTTTCCTTCAATTTTGCTTTGTTGTTATACTCCACAAATGAGTGAAATCATTTGGTACTTGTCTTTCTCCGTCTGACTTATTTCACTAAGCATAATACCCTCTAGCTCCATCCATGTTGTTGCAAATGGTAGGATTTGTTTTCTTTTTATGGCTGAATAATATTCCATTGTGTATATGTTAATCATCTTCAATTTTTAAAGCAGCTTTTAATCATAAGAATGGAATGCTTTCTTGTTCTTTGAGCCAAAAGTCAATTTTTAAGAAAACTTCTCTGGTTTGCTTCAGACCTTTCTAAAAACTATGGTGCTGAAAAGTACGGGCCTCATTCAGTTTGTCTAATTCAGAAGTCAGCATTTGTCATGGAAAAGTGTGAGAGGAAGCTGAGTTACCCAGACTGGGGGAGTGGGTGTTATCAGGTAAATGATATGATTTTTAATAATGATTATTATATTATTAAATATTATATAATTTTATCTCATAGTTTTTATATTTTCAAATACATTTTGTATCTTTTAATATAATTTATTTATTTATTAATACTTTAATTTATTGATTTATGTAAATATTAGTTTGGACACTTGTGTTTTGTGAAATTATTGTCATTTCTTTGAGAGAAATTGCCTTTCTCCATTTTGTTTAAATATGTATGTATACACATACACACACACACACACATATAATGGCTGTGTATCAGCAAGTTTTATAGTAATTTTATGTCTGGGTATATATCCTAAGAAAATAAGGAAAATACGTAATTTTGTTGTTGAACAAATATTTCTTTGTAATGGGAAGATTGACAGTTTTGTTTCATAAAACCTGAAGAAACCATGGATTTAAGAATAAATCAATCAACTACTGATTAGTAATGAGTTTTTTCCTTTGAAATTAGAAATCCAAAAGGGACAAGCTACTATTTTCTTTTTTTTTTTTAAGGTTTCATATTTAATTTAATAATAAATTCACAAATACATGAGTATTTTGTGCCTAGTGGCCTTCCTTATATTGTTTGTATTTCCAACAAACCCTTCAAAAGTGGGACCTTCCCCTGGAGAGGAGCATGAAAAGATTCCCAGCTGTGATATAAACCTTAAAAAGGGTCATATGTGCCCTGGTTGTAAAGCAATCAAGAAGATAATTTCATGTTTCCCAAAGTACTGTTTTCTGAATTATTTTATTTGCACAGCCAATATTAAATGACTGTCACTATATTAAAAACTTGTTAAGATACAGCCATTCTATACTTAGGAGTATTCAGCTTAAAGAATATTCCATTTTACAGCATTTTACTACGCAGATGGACAGTGACTGTGGAGGGGTATGTCTGGGGGACTTGGTGAAGGGGGGAGCCTAGAAAACATAATGTCCTTCATGTAATTGAAGATTAATGATACCAAAATAAAAAATAAATAAATAAATAAAATAAATATTCCATACCCTACTAATGTATGTCAGGGAAGAGCGTATGATCCTGAGAACTGAAAAATAAGAATTCCTTATGTCATTTCCACTGCAAGAGCTAAATGGAGTTCTGTAGCTGGGAATTTAAGTTACTTTAAAATTACTTATCAAATTAACTTTTTGGGTAATGATTTATATAGATATAATTCATACACCATATAATGCATATAAAATTATCTTTTAAAACCTTATAAAAGACAATTTTAAAAAATACTTTCCAGCTATAATCTGACAACTGTAACTCAACAACCATTTTCTGATAAAGTTCATTAAAGATTTGTGTATTGATTAAACACATAACATTGATCTAGTTCTAATCATAATACATGATTTTGTTTTACTGCCTTCACTTAGCACTTTTTATGTAGAGCAAAATGCTTTTATCCAAGTTTATCATAATTAGGGAAGTTATTTTCTTGTTATATATTGAGTTAATTTTTACTTTTTGCAGTATAAAAAGGCTTTATAAGAATATTTACAAATTTTACCTTTTTAAAATTTGTTTTTTAAAATAAATTTCCATTAAGTGAGACTATTAGGTTAAAAGGGATAAAGCTAGGACAGTAACAACTGTAATAGGGAAATGACCCTTTCAGGCTGTTTTAATGTTTTATTAACACCACCACCAGCACAAAGGGATTATGCAGATTTGTAATACTTGTGGCTTCCCTGTACCTAGTATTATCATTTAATTTTGCTAATTTAATACTAACCACCGTTTATGTGGGAAAATGTGAATGATTTTCAAACAACATATGGATTAGCTATTTTGTTTTTTAATTTATTTTGACAGAAAGTTGTACAAATGGTACAATTTTTTTGTCATTTAAATGCAAATTTCCAACATGCTGCCCCTTTACCCCCAAACACTTTCTGCGTTTCTTATAAACAAGCACTTCCTCCTACATAACCAAAAAAGTACCAAAAAATCAGGAAATTAACGATGATACATCTAATTCTCAGACCCCATTCAAGTTTTGCCAATTGTCCCAATGACACCCTTTTAATGGTAGGATCTGGACTAATATGACATGTTGTGTAGTTGTCATGTCCTTGGTTTCCTTCAATCTGGAACAGTTCTCAGTCTTTTATTGACTTTCATAATCTTGACACTTTAAAATATATATAAGCTAGTTCTTTTCTAGAATGTGTCTCAGTTTCGGTTTGTGTGATGTTTCCTCATGATTAAATTCAGGTAATATATTTGGGGCAGTAAAATCACAGAAATGATGCTTATGTTCTTCTGATGATACACTCTTAATTTGTCCCTTTCCTGGTGATGCTAACTTATTCATATCTACCAACCTTCACCACTGTCAAGTTACCCCTTTCTCTTAATTAATTCCCTTTGCAATGAATATGTGTTTGGGGGAGGGTACAATTCAATAACCAAATTTTTAATCATACTTTAATTGTATTGATTTAGGTATATATATATGTATGTTTATGTGTGATAAAATATGGGAAAATGTGTATGATTATATATACTGATATATATATATTAGTATTGACTTGTGGATTCCACTTTATTCAGTGAGTATTACCATTACTATCATTGGATTCCACTTTATTCAGTGAGTATTACCATTACTATCATTATTTATTTTGATACTCAAGTTGCTCCAAGTTTGACCAGAGGGAGTCCCTTCAGGCTGGTTCCTTTGTCCTTTTTAGCCTGTCCCTATCTTTCTTTGAATATTTCCCTATTTTCTGGCACAAGATATTCTAGGCTTATCTTTACTTTCTTTGCTCCAGTCCTGGAATCAGCAATTTCTCGAAGGAACTCTAGTTTCTTTTAGTGGAGTATGGTACTTGGAGACTAAGATCTGGGTGCTGGATGTACTGTTTATTTCTATTAGAATATAGCTGCTCCTCAAGACCTCTTGGTGAACAGAGCTAGGAAATATATGTACGTATGCAATTTATACATATGCTCATACATGTGTTTGCACCAATATCTTTGATCCCAGTCTGGCACCAGAGCATTTATTTTATTTTTCTCTCTTTCCATATTTGTAACTCCTTTCTCTGACAGAGAAATCTGGCTCTCATTGTCCTTAATATGCTTACATATTTGATCTGTTCACATTCCTTCCATCTTTTCTCACTCCTGTATGATTTACCCTCCTTACTCACTTGGACTCTGACACAACCTACCAAATCCCATCTCTTGATCCAAATTCTGTACACATCTTTATGATATAGTGCTTTTCTTCCATGAAACTTTCTAATCTTCATTGTTCTGGGGTTTTTAAAATCATTTATTGACTCTTACTCATGAAACCGTATGACACTGTTAATTTTGGGGGAAAAAATTGTATCTCACCATCCTCTCCTCAGTTAAAGCTGCTAGAGGGCAGGCACTGTGGCATGGACTTGCATATTCATGTCAACACCAACTATGATACTCACTTAATTCTCACTTAAAAGAATGATAACCTTGTACAGTAGCTCTGCTTGTGGTTACTGGATATGTGGGTCATTGAATGGCACTTATGGAAGAGGTTACACTTTGTTCTCTTGAGCTTACTGTAACTGAAATTTCCAAATGAGTTTTTTCTCTGAACAGAGAATCTCAGATAGAAAAAAAGAATAAAGGACTTTTACTGTCTACATTTCTGTGCTGTATACATTTTTTTTTTCACAAGAAGTATTCTTTTGATAATTTAAAACAACTAATAAAATTTGATTTATAAAATGTAGTGACTTGTGGAGAGAATCCCATGAGTAACAGCTCTTTGATTTAATATGAAGTATGTGAGGATACTGGAATCTATGGAAATGCTGTTTTGATAACTTGGCTTCAGGGGTTGTAAATCCAAATTGTATGTAAAGCTGTGCATTACCTTGTATTTTTGAGGAAAAGTGTCCATAGCCTTCATCAAAAATTTTTTTAAGGTGCTAGACTAAAAGTTTAAGAACAACTCCCATATAATGAAATTCTTTTAGAACCTGAATAACTTAACCTTCTTTAAATGAGATTAGAGATATGCCCATCTCCCAAATTGTGTTTCATAGCCAGTATTTTTAGTAAATTTAAATGTAATTTCCTGCAGTTGAACGAAAAGGCACACATAGTAGAATCTTACTGAGCTGATATGTTTTTCCTCTTTGAAGGTTTCTTGTTCTCCACAAGGTCTGAAGGTTTGGGTCCAGGATACTTCATATTTGTGTAGTCGGACCGGGCAGGTCCTCTCCATCAGTATTCAGATGAATGGCTGGATTCACGATGGCAACCTGCTCTGCCCATCATGTTGGGACTTCTGTGAACTCTGTCCTGCAGAAACAGATCCTCCAGCTACTAACTTGAGCCGAGCTCTACCACTGGGTGAGTAGTCTCTGTGGGTAAAGAGATGAGCTCTTCTTATGTTGAAAATGCCCTTCTTATGTTGAAAGTGCCCTTCAGTGAAGTGCTTAAGCAGGTTGAGCATCTTCTCTTCTAATTGCAGTTTTATGGGAAAACCTCCCTCCCTCCATCGTTAAAGATTTGAAAGTGGGTAAACTTGTGACTTCTGTTCAGTAGGAGCAAGGGAGAAGAAGCTTTCTGTGCGAAGAATCTCTGACTTACACGAAAAAATTCATTGAAGGTTATAAAAAATGAGTGTTTCAACCATTCAATTTGAAGTTGAGTAAACAAAATTCCATTCATTAAATTAAAGAAGCAGTTAAATATATTTATAGCTAGATGAGGTGAAAGAGAGGGAAAGACACTAGAAAAGATCTCAAAGAAGGAATTGACATCCACAAAGAACAGAAAGATGCGAAGAGACACAAGTATGTACACACACAGTGAGAGAGAAAGACAGGCTGGCAGAGACCAAGTGGTTTTCACTGAGCAATATTTTCTCATTCTGTAAGACTCCAGAGAGTAGAATGGAGACCAGTAGTTTGAAGTTGTAGGGAACCAGATTCCAGTTAAATCATTTAGAGCCAAGAGAGGAATGGAAATAACTGCTTTGAGAAGAATGCATTCTCCATTATTGAAGATGTGCAAACTGAGGCCCATGGCCAATTTCTAAGAGTTAGAAAAGCAGAATTCATGAATTCTTAATTAAAGCTTTGACCGATCATCCATGAGATTTTAATTAAATGACCCATGAAATGTTATGGCAGTTAGACAATTTAGGATCTGAGTAATAAAGATCTTATGCAATTTTTTGTTTTCTTAATTGGAGGTACTTTTTTAATGGAACTGTATAAACCTTTTGTCTATTGCATAGTTGAAAAAGAAAGGCTACTTTCACTTTACTCAACTCAAAAGTTTCACTGCCTCTAAAATTTTTCAGTTCACAACCTTTTGAGTGCTTCCCAGATATGATCCAAAACTGGCTCCCATACATGGTGAACAGGGAGAGACAGAAGAAAAAAGGTGGGCCACTCCAGATTGGTAGGTGGTAGTTAAAATAAACGTGGGAACTTACATATGAGGCTTGTCCTGGGTGGGCCGGGTCAAGGAACTATTAAACGATTAGTTCCTGTCCTGAGAACATGACAAAGACAAGTGAACCTTTTGGAAGGAGGTGGGAAGTACAGATTGCAAACCATTCTGCCTCCTCTACCTTCACCAATCTGTACTTTAGACTGTACTTCTTATCCTGCTCCCTTTTTATCAGTCACCCTTCTGATACTGTGATGTTATGATATTTCTTTCCCTGTTAACCATTTCTATGAGGAATCATGCTCAGAAGAGTACTGTAACCTCCAAATCACTACCACGATTTTGAAACATGTATAAATACTACAAGAATGGCTATCTTTTAGGCATTGCTTTTTAAGCATTGTAAGTATCACTGATGAAATTCTAAAATATGCTAACTTTCCATATTTGTTAATGTGTGTGAATAGAGCACACACTGAGCCTTTACTGAATATTTATTAAACTGTATAACAAGAACTATAGCAAACTACATATGCTGTTTCTTGCAGGTAAATAGTTTATTTCTTTTTAATATTTTCTTATGACTCACTAAACTTGTAGAAATAATATTTGATGTTTTAAATGTACTTGTTTGAGAAATACAAATAGTTAAAATTCACCTATTATGAAGCTTATTAAACAAATGATCAATCCTTAATCTGTCTTACAATTTAAAATATTTAGGCTTTTAAGTATGCCTTTATTTATTTTTTTTATAAGATATCATTGGTACTCACATGAAAAACAATGTGGTTGCTACATTCACCCATATTGTTGAGTCCCCCCAAATACCCTAATGCGGTCACTGTCCATCAGTGTAGTAAAATGCCACAGAATCACTACTTGTCTTCTCTGTGCTGCAGTGTCTTCCCCATGATCCCACCACACTCCATGTGTACTAATCATAATACCCCTCAATCCCCTTCTCCCTCCCTCCCCTACCCCTCCTCTACCCCTCCCCTTTGGTAACCACTAGTCCCTTCTTGGAGTCTGTGAGTCGGCTGCTGTTTTGTTCCTTCAGTTTTGCTTTGTTGTTATACTCCAAAAATGAGGGAAATCATTTGGTATTTGTCTTTCTCCAGCTGACTTACTTCACTGAGCATAATACCCTCTAGATCCATCCACATTGTTGCAAATGGTAGGATTTGTTTCTTTCTTGTGGCTGAATAGTATTCCATTGTGTATATGTACCACATCTTCTCTATCCATTCATCTGCTGATGGACACTTAGGTTGCTTCCATATCTTGGCTATTATAAATAGTGCTGCTATAAACATAGGGATACATATGTCTTTTTGAATCTGAGAAGTTATTTTCTTTGGGTAAACTCCACGGAGGGGGATTCCTGGGTCAAATGGTATTTCTATTTTTAGTTTTTTGAGGAACCTCCATATTGCTTTCCTAAGTATGCCTTTAAAACATCAAAACTGCTGAGATTCTACAGGAAGTATAAAAGATATTCCTCTCCCCAAATTCTTCTGATTTTTGTTATTCTCAGGTATTAGTTCTCATAGCCTTTTCTTACATTTGTCATTTCTTTTAGAATGTAGAGTTCTTACCTTCTTTTCTCTCTCCTTTCCTGTAGTTATCACTTTTAAATTCTAGGGTGTAATTAGATAGTTCTATATTGCCCAAGATAGTTTTCACTAGTGAATATAAAAGATTAATTTCTAAATTCTGTCTGGTCTCTTAAAATTGTAGGGGTTGTTTTGTTTCCATTTATGGAATGCTAAACACTTTGCCAAGTGCTTCCTGTCTCTGTTGCTGTATTTAATCATCACAAAATCTAATGAGATAAGAATTATCATTGTATACATGAGAAAACTAAGGTGTAAAGAAATTAAGTAATGTATTCACTGTCACAACTAGTATCGAGGTTGAGATTGAAACCCAGATCTGAGTGTCTGTAATTCATTTTGAAACACCATATTTAAGTCTTTTTGTTATCACAGAAAGGGCAGTGCTTTTGAAGGACAACACATGTTCTAAAGCTGCCATTAATGTTTTAGTAGCTTGTTAAATTTTAGTACTAACAATAGATAAACAGTAGTTTTCCTCCTATTTCCTTTGGACAGGTTGAGATTCAGGAGATAAAGGGAGATGCCTGTGTTATCAGTGACTCCAGGGTCCATTCTTTATTTAGCCAAGACCACTCTCCCTGCCTAGGCCAGACCTTACCCGATCCATGTTCTGGGTTGTTGGAAATGTTCTGTCATTAGCACTGTCCAGTACAATCATCATTAATCACTGTGACTGTTGAACATGAGAAATATGGTTATAGGACTCAGGAACTAACTATTTTATTTCACTTTAATTAATTTAACTTTAGGTAGCACATATAGCTAATAGCTGCCATGTAGGAAAATGCAGCTCTAGGCCAGAGGTTCTCAAACTTAGCGTATATCAGAATAATGTTAAAATCGCTAGGCCTCACCCTCAGAATTTCTGAGGGTTCAGAAGATCTAGGTTGGAGCCTGAAATTTTGCATTTTTAGCAAGTTCCCAGGTGATGTTGGTGGTGTTGATCCAGTGACCACATTTTGAGGACTGTTCTTGGCTATGCAGGATTTTTCTAAGATTTAACAAATAATTGCTGATTCTACTGGGGATGAATAGAAGCTCTCCATGGTGTTCTCTCCAGTAACTTGACTCTATCATCCTACTCATCCTATAGCTGCAGACCAACCCGAGTTTTCTTACCTCTTAAGCAAGTGAGATTTGAAGCTTGGTTGGTTCTTTATTAGTCAAAATATTAGAAAGGACAACTCATCCTAAAATGAAGTCAGGTTGACCTGGTCTCTTGACTTCTATAAAAATGTTTTCCTTTCTGAGTACTCTTTTGGAAAATAGAACAACTCATGGCTAAATTAAAATATACTCTTTGTGCCCCAAACCCATAGAATCTTCTGCTGTACCCAAATCAAGCCTGGGTTGACATGGATAATGGGTAGATATTTAGAGATCAAGGATTATATGTCTTGGTTTGCCTGGGACAGTCCATGTGCCTGTTGTCCCGTTTTAATTATTAATAGCATTGCCTGTGTTTAAAATAATCAAAGAGAACAATTTAGTTGATATAAGCATATGGTATTTCACACTTCATGAGGGGCAGTCTTCACTCTCAAGAGTCCAGAGAACTACAAAATAAGGGAAACGGGCCACCAGCAGGAAACAAGAAGTATTGGGCTTAAGTGGGCTGCCTGGGGTTGCATATCTGACCTTCTTAGAAGGATCGTGCAACAAGCAAATATGTAGAGGGCCCAGAGTTGGCTTGGTAGTTGGAGATGGGCTGACTGGATATGTGCTTCTGGTCAAGCAGAACATTTCCAGGAACATGAAAGTGATCTAAGTTTCAGCTTCCTGAAATGGCACTGCAGGAACGAATGGCTCCATTTTGGGACTAGAAATTTATTTCAACACTTGTCTCAAAATGTCCTGATTTGGGGGTGATAAAACATATGGTCACTCTACTTAGAAGGGACAAGGAAGAAGAGAAGAGAATTCTGCATCCTGCATCAGAATAGCAAAGGTACTCACTTACTTTCCTGTGTAGCGTATTTAGCTTTCCTGGGATTCTATCTGAAGACACCACTTTCTTTCTTTTTTTTTTTT